ATTAAATATTAAAATCAATAATAATAGATTTTCTATAGTTATTTATTGTTTATACATTCATTTCTTTTATATTTTTTTATATTTTTGCTTGGAAAAGTATGAATTTCATCCCATTGGGGCTGAAATTAATTTTGCTTTTATTTTATTTTAATTTTAAAATTATTTGTTTAGCTATTTTATTTATTGCATAAATTATTTGAGCTCAGTTTCTATTCTATTAACTCAGGTTCTGCATATCTCTCTCTCTCTCCCTCTCGCGCTCTTATCACTCTACACTCTTTAACTCAATATCAGTCAACACTCTGCCTACTCTCCCTCTCTCTCTCTCTCTCTCTCACACACACACGCTCCCTCCTCTCGGGCAGCAAATGCATTTTTGTTTTGTTTTCATTACGGCTGTTGTTGTTGTTGTTGTTGCTGTTAGCTCACACGCGCCGCCATCAGCAACAGCAACAGCAAAAGCAACAACAGCAGCAGCAGCAGCGACTTAGGAGACGCATCCGTCAGATACGTTTCCTATTGAGCGGGGCAAGTTCTAATTGTTGCAGCTGCAATGCCAGGGCAAAGGAGGGAGGGTAGGCACTGGGTCGGCTGCCTGGCAATTTTGTCAACGCTAAAAGATGTTTAACACATTGCCAGGATAAGCATAGCTATATATGTATACATTCCATATGTGTGTGCATGTATATATGTATGTGCTCCTAGCTGTTGAGGATCGCGCACTTAAAGATGCATTAGGCAATTCGCTCTGCAGCTCGAGTGTTTGACGAGCGACTGAGAAGTTATATTTAGAGCAGTGTTTAGAGAAACAATTGAATGTTGCTGCTACGTATACATATATAGAGTTGTATGTATGTACTTGACTTGTATGTACATATATGTACACATATACATATGTGTGTGCATCAGTAGCATATTCAATTCAATTCAGGCCAAGGCCGCATTTAGCTAGAGTCTCAAGTTATCGCCTTCAACATTATTTGCCACATTTGAAAATGTATTATTTATACCATATATCACATCACATATATATCTATACATATACATACATACATACATGCATGCGAAACTTTTGTTTGTATGCATCAAGTTTTCCTCGAAATGCATTTATTATTCATGCCAACTTTTTCATTAACTGACAGAGCTGCCACAGCGCCCACACATGACCGGAAGATGTTTGCCCCTTGCCATTGCTATCTGCCACCGCCCCCGCCTCTGCCCCTTCCCTTGGCTCTGCCTCCCCCTTCTCGACTATTTCGTAGTCCTTGGCAGTCGTCATCGGCAACAAATCTACGAAAAGGCCAAAGCCAAAAGTGAATTGCCAAAAGGTAGAGGAGACCAAAAGATGCCACCAGCTTTACCTGTATCCGCTCGTCTCCCCTCCTCCCCCCTCTCCTACCCATCACAAGAGCTGCGCGGTAACTAAGTTAATGTTCCCCGGCGCCCTGCCCTGCCCCGCCCTGCCCTGCCCTGGCTAGCATCGAGTCTAAACTTCTCTTCCTGCCCAGCTCGTGTGCTGCTGAGTGGGTTTCCACGACAACGCAGGCGAAGACAAAGTCCCAACACATTGCCATTGTTTTTGTCTTCTTTTCTTTTTTAACTTACTTTGTTTTTCCTTTTCTTATTTTTTCTTCTTTTTTTCTTTTTTTTTTTTTTTTTGTTTAGTGTGTCGGAAACTTGTTCAACTTGTTTCCATTTTACTATTTTTTCCCTCTCACATGTGTGAGTATCC